CCACCTTAGGTGTACGTGGCTGGCGCCTTAGCCGGTTGAGCTATAGGCGCTGAGCCTTGCCTGTCTATTTTTAAAGATGAGGTCTCCCTCTGGCTCAGGTTCGTCTTGAACTTGTGAACCGAGGTGATCTACCCGCCTTGGCCTCTGACAGTGCTTAGGATTACAGGCATAAGCCACTGAGTCTGGCCTAGTTTTTTTTTTTTTTCTCTTAGTTTTTAAGTGTCCAAGTATTTTCACCTTTATTGCTAATTTGATCCTCTGTGTGCTGATTTTTATGGTTCTGTATTGGAGAATTTGACTTGTAAATCATGCTAATGATTTAAAACTTTGGCTTTTATAATCTTTTAAACTATAGCAAAACTTACCATTTTACTTGGGTCTTAAATTCAGTTTCAAATTTTTCTATTTAACAAATTTTACTTTCCTGAGGGGAAAAAGGTGATTTTTAATCTTCAAGGATATGGGGGAAATCTCAGTAGGAAAAATACACTTTGGGAAAAAAGAGTTTAGCAACTTACATAGGAAACTATGCCTATTTTTTTTTTTTTCAGTACAACTTTTCTTGGTAATCAGATTGATTTTAGTTCCTTTACCATTACCTTATGTAAAATATTACCATAAAAAGACTATTCAAGTACCTTAGATTCTGAAAGACTTCAATAGGACTTAGAAAATGAGTAGAACACTAGGAAATAAAGCTCTTTAAAAGAGTTAGGTAAAGGAAAAAAATCTTTGAGTACACCTGTACTCAAAATAAAATAAGCAGTTCATACAACATATTAATAGAAATTAGAGAAGGCTTTTCTTGTTTAGTCCATTAACCAGTTTTATTCAGAGTTATGGGTTCCTGTGTACTGAATATTTGTAAGATTGTTTTCGTAGTTTAGTCACATGATTTTTTAATCAACAAAACAACCAATTCAGAAATTATATTGGACTTTACGTTGAGGTGCTTTAGACTCTTTTCTCTAACTTTTCATCCCATCTCATAGCAATAAATATTATTTTAAATTAATTCTTGTATTGTTCAGGTTAATTTGGGGGTACAGAGAATTAGGTTACAATGTTTGCATTTGTTAGGTAGAGTCCATTTATAATAATGTCCCCCCTCTAAGAGCTGTGCCATATACCCTAAAACATTGTGCCCACTAAGTGGGAACATACCTATCACCCTCCCTATAGCAATGAATATTTTCAGGAGTGATTTTGTTATAATTTTACAATGTATTTTTTGTTCTGATCTCCTGAACTTACTAGTAAATGCCTGAGTCAATTATAAATGCTGTTTTCTGGTATTTTTCTGTTAATCGTGGGTTGTTACTGTAAGAGTAGTTTATATGAATGAGTTAATCTTAGTACTATGCTTAGAGATCTTAAAGGTACACTGGAGATATAAAAGATCGTAATAACATGTCTGAGTAGGAAATAATAGGAAAAGTACATTAAAAGGAAATGTATTTAATATTTTAGGTCTGTTTCACAGGTTTTTATTTAAATACCTTACTTCTGATAAATAATTCAGATAATTGCATAATTTACTTTCAGTGTTTGGTTTGGTGACCACCAATTAAGTAGTTGAAAATCTTTTTAGTTTTACTACATTTTTATTAGGACTAATGAAATTTATTTTCAGTTCTTATTATCACCAACAAAGATTGGTTAAATTCTGATTTGTTCACAGTAGAATGCAAGACCCAAAACAAAGAAAACAATATAGATTAATCTATGTCATTTTAATCTAAGTCTGTCCTTCTACAATTCTCCAACATTTGAATTGAGCAAATACCATTATGTCTGCAGAAAATCCTGTTTGACTTATGGTAGCACAGTTCAGCTTTGTCAGGAGGTTTGGTCTTAATTTTAGGTTTTCCCCCTACATTTATTCTAAATATTGGTTTTACTGGGAAGAACAGTTTTACAGGAGATGGTGGAAAATAAAAGATACTTGGGCAACTAAAATTCTGTGAAACAATGTCCATGGTTCTTATAATTAAAAGTATTTTCTCTTTAGGGTTGAAGGCCCTATGGCATGGTTTACAAAGATTAAACTGATTAAAAGAGTATAAAAACTAAATTGAAGACAGCCCCAGATATGCTGATCAAATTTTTAGGATAAAAATTAAATTGAAGACAGCCCCAGGTATGCTATTAGGATCAACCATATCTCCTAAGATCTTAGTTTTTTACTATATGTTTATCTAAAAAGTTCTTTACTCATAAAGTAAACATTTAATGTTACATTGTTTTAAATAGCATTTCGTGCTAGTCTTTACTCTTGTGTTAAATATATAAATGTAGCAAATTGAGAAAATGCTATTATTTCTATTTTTCTGATTTCTGTTACTTGAGGTTCTTTTCTTTTCATTTTTTTTTTTTTTTTTTTTTTTTTTTGGCCGGGGCTGGGTTTGAAACTGCTACCTCCAGCATATGGGGCCGGCACCCTACTCCTTTGAGCCACAGGTGCTGCCCAATTGAGGTTCCTTTTAAGAACTGCACATTTCTGATATTTTCAATATGAGACCACATTTTACCATAAAGTAAGACATTTCCCTAGGCTCTTAAGTGATTTTACATGGAAGAGGTTCTCTTTAGAGAATA